ACGTTAAATCCTCGATCGCTGGTGGCTGTTATTTCCACCGCACCACCTTGTTTATCCACATAACATTAGCACGCTTCTCAGCCTAGAATGCAGTCCTGGAATGTCCAGTCTTTTAGGAAGCAGGATGTGAAGAAGGTCAGATAAGTGAGACCTCCTGGGGCTGTAGGTTGTCTTGGGGTGGGGGAGGTGATGGGAGAGGAGGGGAAGGCAGCCCTCTGCAGGGATACAGCATGTGCAAAACCCCAGAGGCAACACTGAATGTGGCCACGCCTCCTGGCCTTCGCACACGCTGTTCTCTCTTTTAGTCCTCTCGGAGTACTCCTGTTTATCCTTCAAAACTCCACTCAGATATCCCTCTCCTAATTGCGAGTCCTCAATAAGTTATAATCTTCCCTTTGGTCTTCTTTCCTCAACCTTTTACTTTCTTGGTTGGGTTTTGCCTCCTCTTACGTTCCCATAGATGTTATCCACGTGTCCATCCTAGCCCTTGGCACTTGTATGGCAATTGTTCATTTTTTTTTTCTTGCTTTTTCTTCCACTGGACTGGGGATTCTTAAAAGTATACACGTTTGTATCAGATTTGGGGGAGAAAGTGGTATATATAGCCCCAGGTTTGGGGTGATCAGTTGAGACACCCTTCCCCCTTAATGTCTGAAAGTCACATAGATACACGGAGGTTTTTAGGGGCTATAGTCTCTTCGGGGTCCGCGCAGGGTTTGCAGAAAGTAACTGTCCAGGGAATGTTTGTTGAATGAATGAATGACCGACATGTTCAGATTTCTGTTAAGGGAATGCACTTATCTGGATGGAAATGGTGATCTCTGTGCCTCACCTCACATTGCGGGTGAAATTTGCATTTGTTTCCTGGATCCCAGCAGCCTTTCCAGCACTTTTTGGACAAATTACATAAGAAATAGAGTTTTCTTTCTTTTTTGATGCCCAGCAACATCCCAAGAGTTTCCTGGAGAGAACAGAAGAGTTTGCAGAAAAAGTCCTCTGGGGGAAACATGCTTGTGGCTGCCCCAGTTTTTAGGAAGCGACGCTTTTTATAGTCACACTTTCAGACCACACTGTACCTAAAGGAAGCCAGGGCAAGCAGGCATCTGGCTTTTCAGCTCACTCGTGCACCCTTTCCTGCCCCGGGGAGGGAGGGAGGCAGGACTGTGTGATCCTGTCTGCCATTTGGTCTCTGCTTTTCTGGGCACTTATCTGCCATCCAAACTGATTTGGCAAGGGCCAGCGCATCCTCTAGCTCATCAAAGATGTGAGGCTGGGGTGGCAAACTCCACCACTTAATAGTTGCGTGACCTTGGGCTGGTCACTGAACTTCTCTCTGCCCCAATTTTCCCATCTGTAAAATGGGAGCAGTAATCATAGTACTAACCTCGCTTCATTGTGGGGAGAAGCAAATGATGTAATAATACAACGTCTGGCACACAGGAAGGGCCCAGTAAATGGTGGCGATGGTGGTGGTGGTGGTCTTAGGTCAGATGCCCTGGAAGCAGAGACCGAGACGGGAATTCTTGTGCAGGGGTTGAGTGAGGGAAAGCTCTCAGGGGAAACCTGTAAGGAAGGAAGCAAGGGCAGCAGGCTAGGACGGCAGAAAAAGCTAAGTTACAGACGTGGTTTCAGCTGAGGTCCGGCCTCAGCCTGATCCCATGGGGACCTCTAGAGTGTGAATTGCACCACTGAGTTGGTCCTGCCTCGCGGCAAGGGGGCCTGGGTTTTGTGTTGTGTATTAGCCATCATTGGCCTTGGCCATCTGAGCACAGCCTTGAGCAAGAGCAATTCTCTAGAGAAGGGTAAAGCTCCGAGCTCTTTGCAGCTAACACAGTAGCTAAAAGATGGGGGCGCCTTCTAGAAAAGGAGATCTTGGTCAGGGAGAGACACCAATTACATCAATGACAATGCTGAGTTTGATGTTTCATCTCTGAAAACCAGAGAGGTTAATTAAGTAACTTGCTTAGGGGTCCCACAGCTAATAAGAACTGGAGGTGGGACTCCACATCTTTAATTGTGATACTATATTGATTTGGCAAGGCTGGGTAAGGAAATGAGGCCCTTAGGTAGGGCACAGAATTAGGAGGCATCAAAAAAGTCGGTAATCAAGATAAATAGTATTTTAATTCAGTATGTTTTTATGAAATAAAATTAGTGCAGAAATCCATGCTGAACAAAGGATTAACACTGTCAATAAAAACATGATCCATATAACTGATTTTCTTTTCCTTTTGCCTCTGGCTCCAGTGTGGCTTAGCACAGCACCGAGCAGGTCCCTTTCTGTTGAACAGTTAGGTTCTCAGTAGTTTTTCATAATTATCTACGCCACTGTGATGAACGTGCTTATAGCTAAGTGTTTATATATGTCCATTCTTATTTCCTCTCTGTGGAATTGGATCTAGTCAGGCACATCTGCCCCACTAACCTTTTATTATGAAAATGTTCAAACAGACAGAAAAAGCATACAGGGAACACACAGGCCCCTATCAGGTAGATTCTACAACTGCTAACATTTAGCTATATTTGCTTTATAAAAATCTGGCCATCCATCCCATGGTACATTTTTTTATGCTTTTCAAAGTAAATTACAGGTATCAATACACTTCAGCCTTGCATTTCAGCTTGCATTCCATTCATTGGCAGGCCATTATTTTTTATGACGTTTGATCTAGGGTGTTAAATTTCCTCTAGGAATTATATACCAATGCTCACTTTGCTGTGGATATATGTGTCGGTTTCACCACAGCTTTGCCAGCACTGGGTATGATCATTTTGAAGGCGTTTTACTTACTGCTTTGATTTAACATTTTTCCTCCTGAGGGTTGGGGTTGTGCCCAGTAGATTTCTCACCTCTCTGTTCAGATGGTCTGTTAAAAAGCTGCACCCCCTTCCAGCTCTCTAGGTATTGCTGCTGTGGCTTTCCTGGGGCAGGTGGGGAGAATTCAGCTCTTTCTCATGGCTGTTCCTGCTGCTACCCTGCAAGTCCCTGGCCTGCCTGGTGCAGGAGCTTACTGTGGATGTTCTATGTGAGGAAAACGGGCAAACTTCGGAGGCCAGAAGCTCTGGGACCCGGGAGGCTGCAAGTGGAGGAGGGTGGAGCCAGGTAGGTAAGGAGGTGGGATGTGGACCCGGCATTTCCTCATCTGCATGAGGGGGTGATGCCTCCGAACATGTAGGACGTACAGGCTGCTGTGGGATCCCCTTGCTCCTCCTGTAAACTGTCCCCCACCCCCTCTTCCACCTTCGGTTTTCTCATGGGCCAGCTGCTCTCTTGTCTCTGGGCATTTGTATCTCTTGTGATTCCTGTGGATCAGGAATTTGGGAGCAGTTTGGTTGAGTAGCTCTGGCTCAGGGTTTCTTATGATGTTGCAATCAAGATGTTGGCCATGGCTGCAGTCCTCTAGGGGTTTGACTGCCGCAGGGGATGTGCTTCCAAAGTGGCCAGTCACGTAGCTGGCTGTTGGCTCCGGGCCTCAGATTCCCTCTACTTGGTTCTCCACAGTGCTGCTTGGGCATCCTCACAGCATGGCAGCCGGCTTCCCCTAGCATGGACCAGAGAACAAGGTGAAAGCTGTGATACCTTTTATGACCAGGCTTTGGAAGTCACAAACCATCACTTCTGCCTTACTCTGCTGAGCACAGAGACCAACCCCGATTCATGGTGGGAGGGGACCACACCAGGGTATGGATAAAAGGGCACAGGGATCACTGGGAGCCACCTCGGAGGCTGGAGGCTGCCTGTCAGGTTGGATTACCTTGGTATATGACTCCACCTCTCTGGGCCTCAGTCTTCTCATCTGTCAATGGGTCCATGTAAGAATTCACGAGTTAATTCTTGTGACTCCTTAGAATGGCTTTGGGCACTTGGTACATTCTCAGTAAATATTAGCCATCGTCATAGACCCCTGCTGAGCTGCGAGCCCTCCGTTCTTTTTGTTTATTTATTTTTGGTTCTGTTCTACATATTTATTTACTTGTCCAAGTACTCTCTCTCCAGTGGCAGACCCAGAGTAGACACTCTCTGAACCTTTGTTCAGGGAACGAGTGAAAGCATGAGAGAGTGAATGAACAGCCGCAAGGACCAGGAGTCCGTAGAAGAACGAGCTCTGCCAGCCGCACGGTTAGAGAGGCCTTTGTGACGGACCTTCTCAAGGGAGGCCGTTTGACCAGTGTCTGGAGAGCAAATATTTGTTCAAGACGATGGGGAGGTGGTGGGGAAAAGAACACAGGATGCCACTGGACTGACCTGGGTTTCGATCTCGGACTTGGTGTTCGAACAATAAATATTTGCTGGGCCCTGACTCTGGGCCAGGTGCCTCGTGAGACCTGTGAAAATGGTGGGAGGGAGCAGCTCCCACGCATGCCCTGGCGACATCCTTGCTGTGTGACCTTGGGCGTGTGATTCTGCGCCTCTGAGTCTGTGTTTCCTCATCTGTAGAAGGGGTGCGGGGCTCGGATCCCTGCTGGAGTGGCAGAGCTCCTTCAACAAGCGTGCCTTACTCCAGGGGCCCGCTGCCGGGGACCCTGTCCAAGAATCCCGCCATGCACCCCTGCAGTCTTCAGGGGCTGCAGTCTTGTCCTCCCCCTCCCCCACCCGGCACACCAGCTCCATAAGGGTTAAAACCCAGCGAGCTCACGTGACCCAGTGTAAACCGAGCATCATTTCCACCGCTCCCTGTGCGAGCTGCTGCCCAGGATGGGGCAGAGGCTGTGCCCCCAGGTTGCCATGGCAACCTTGCCGGTACTAAAATACCACCCACCCCAGTCCTTCCTTCGAGGACCTGGGGACCATCTCACCAGTCCAGGTGTTGCTTTCCGGGGGTGGAGGGAGAGAAAGCTGGAAAGTCTAGAGAGAGGGAGGGAGGGGGAAGAAAGAGAGAAAGCAGAGGGCTAGAGAGAGACACAGGGAGAGGGAGGAGAGAGAGGCTGAGAAACCACAGGCAGAGAAACAGACCACGAGAGGGAGACAGACTGACAACCCGCCAGAGAGTTCCCAAGACGCTGCCTAGAACCCTAGAGGCAGAAGCAGTTTCCTAGCAGCGCTCCCCTTCCTGGGGCTGCCGGATCTCCGACATACATGCACACACGTGCACGCGCACACACGTGCACACACATGCACACACGTGCAGCTGCATTGCCTCCCGTGCCTGCGGTGAGGGCACAGGGGCGGGTAGGCTGTCAGGCACGTGAAGTTACCGTCAGCCCCGAGGGACAGTGAGCGAGTTGGGACTTGGAGGAGGAAAAAATGGGGACGGACGTCAGCTCCCCCTGCGGCCGTCTCTGCCTCCCGGAGGCCCCTCCTGCATTCCTGGGCAGCAAAGCCCCTCGCTAAGACGGGGGCTGATGTCATCCTGGGCTGCTCAGCCAGGGGACCCAGGGGCCCTGGTGGCTGCCTCCGGAAATGAGCTAACTGCCTGCTGGCGACAGGTTTGGAATCTCCAGCCAGAGGACAGAGAACCTGCATGGGTCAGGTGAGCAGCTGGGCAGGGGGCAGCAGCCGGCGCAGCCCGTCCCCTGGGACCTTCCCGTGTGTGCTCCGGAGGGGCTGAAGGGAAGTGAGAACAGGGGGTCCACGGCCAGCCCCTCCCCCCCACTGCTCAGGGACTGTCACGCCCTGGAGTGAGCGTAGCCACCCTGTTCCCCAAAGCTCCCGTCTCGACCGATCCAGCCCGGTGAGCACTCGGAACTGGAGGCTGGACCGCCCAGCGTGTTGACTCCACAGCTCCAGGGGGTGGACTCCCAGCCTGGCACTTCACTGCCTCTTAATCCTGAGCGACACCCGCAGATGCGGCCGGCCGCCGGCTCGGCGATGTTTACTTACCCTTGGTTTGGCTGAGGACGAGGGCTGCCAGATTTTTTTCTCCGGGCAAGCCCAGAACTTCCATGAAGGGAGAGGACACTGGCTTTTTAGCTGCTGTCTCCCGCTCTCACCTCCACCTGCCCTCTCCTCCTGGCCGGCCCCATGGATTACCTGGGAGACAAACTCACCGTGGCCCAGAACCACATGACCCAGTGGGTGGGCAGCGTGAGGAGGTCCTTCCAGGAGGCCCTCAACTTGGTGAGCACCACGGTGGGCCACGAGCGGACGAGCGGAGAGCCTGCCACCCGGACCCCCTTCAAGCGCACCTCCTCCTTCCGACACCTCGCTTCCCGGAGTCGGGAATCTTTCCGCCGCTTCTCTGCCCGCAGCCAGCAGAGGTTTTCTTCACTGAGGAAAAGGCAGACAGATTCGGAGCCGCCAGATATTGTAAGCTTATTACGTTTTTAAAAAATATTAAAACAACAGTAAAAACTCCTCCCCCACCCAGTACCCCTGGGGAGGGGACCCCCCTGTACATCAAACCAGGGAAGTTACTTCTTCCAGAGTCATTGTCAATCAGAGCCCAAGCGCTTCCTGTCCCCCGTGGCTGGGGGAGAGGCCCAGTGGCATTTCCCCTGATGTGGGGGTTCCTCTCCGTCCCGAAGTTGGTCAGGAAATTTGCACTGGATTCAACGTCTGTGTCTCCAGGGCCAGCACGTGAGTGGAGCTTGCTTTGGCAGTTGATTTATCTTTAAGTGTGGACACTCCAGACCCTGCCACAAATGTCCATCTCCTCTATTTTTAGGGAGGATTAGTCGGCACCTGCTTCATCTCCTGTCACCCTCCCAGGACGACCGTGTGTCCGTGTCATATGCACAGGGACTTGTGGCTTTTGTCGTTCTGTTGTGCAGCAGAAGGGAGTTCTCATCTGATGACCAGAGGAAAGGGCCTTAGGGGACCTGAGGTGGTGAGCAGGTTTGCCCACTCACCTGTGAACCTGGGGCTTCGCGTGAGTGGGCCAGAGCAGGAGGCCTCAGGCCAGATCGTGGGGTCCCCCAATTTCTCACGCAGGTAGGATGGACAGGGCTTGGGAGAGCAGGGCAGAATGACAGCTAACGATCAAAAACCTGACCTGCGTCCTGCCAGGGGACGGTGCAGAATCAATCTCAAGGATGTTAGTGGCAATTTGGAGAGGTGGGACTAGGCCCAGAGAAGGAAAAGCACCTGTCTGGGGGAGCACAGCAAGTGAGTGACAGAGTCAGGGCCGGAACCCTGGCTTGTGACCTCCCTATTCAGTCCTTTCTCCAGCCCAGCTCCTGGCACGTGCTGTCTCCAGACATCCCTGCTAACTTCGGGGATGCCCGTGTCACTGACCGGCCCTGAACTTAAAGAGAAGGGCTGGCGTTTTCACAGCAGGAGACTTCTGCCACCTGACCGTGTGGGCCCCGTTCGAGGGAGCATCTGAGGACGGGCAGAGGGCTAAGCCAGCTCCGTCTCTGGGTTCTCCTTGCCACGAGTGCCAGTAGTCATGAAGGAACCCCGCATTTAGGGAAGCAGCCTCGAGCTACCCCGTACACTCGAGGTCACAGAGAGCTCACAGCTGCCCTGCCAGGCGCAGGGACTCAGCATCCCCTCTGCTGGCCCAGAAAGGTGCGGCGACACAGCCCAGGTCACACAGCAGCCAAGCAGGCAGGTGCAAACCCAAGCCAGAAGCTGAGCACTTGAGCATGACATGTGTCTCATTAATGGGACGTATCCTTCGTGGCCTGGACAAATTAATGTAGCTTGAATTTATGCGACAGAGCCCCCAACCCAAACTCTGGAAGGTGTGCCTCGGCCCCGGGAAAGAAGTCCTCTCATTCATTCTCTCTGTGTCTCTGTGTGTCCCTCTGTGTCCCTGCATGTGTCTCTCTCTGCCTCTGTCTCTGAGTGTGTCTCTCTGCATCGTAAGGCAGAGAGACACACTCTCTCTGGTCCTCTCTCTCCATCACTTTTGTTCTCTTTCAGGGTGTGCGGTTTGGTGACAAGCAGGTTTGTTCACGACCCCGCCCTCTGCCCTCCGTGTGTGTGACCCCAGCCACTGGTCTGACTCCCCCGGGCCTCGCCGCCCTGTGTAACAGGCTGGTACCCGTAGCGGGACCAGCCTCCCCAGCTGGTTGAATGAATGAAGCTGGGCAGTGCGTTGCAGTGCCTCCCACGGCGCAAATACGTGCCAGATACATGTGGGCCTCAGGCTCCTGCCCACTCAGCATTTGGCACCTACTGAGTGGTGGGTACCAGCTGGCATTGGCATCGACAGCTTGAGTCAGGCTTGCCGGATCCCGGCTGAGGGGCCTTGACTGGTTCTTCAGCCTCAGTTTCCTCTTCTGTCAAATGAGGAGGAGCAGGGGCTTGATATGAGGTCGAAGTGACACCCATCACGTAGTAGGTGCATGCTTATAAATGCCTTCTCTCTGCTGGGTGCCCAGACGCTCTGCCTCGCAGGCTGAGGGCGGAGTCGGGGTGGGGACGCTGCGATCTTGCAGAGAAGTCAGCGCAGAGCTGGGGTCGAACCCTGCCTCTGCCACTTCCCAGCCGTGTGGCCGAGGGAGGGCTCATCTCTTCTCTGGTCCTCGTTTTCCTCCTCCATGAAATGGGGGTGCTGGGTCATTGACGTGTTGGTGAACGTGTGGTGGGTGTGGCCGTGCTTGTGGTGTACGTGCCTTAAACGTTCTATGGCAACCAAACCGTCTCTCTCAAACCGTCCTTTCGCAGATCTCCAGTGAATTGGAAAATCCACACACTCCCCTTTTACTCAGGGACTTCACTTCAATATTTGGTTTATGGGAGGAAACTTTTTAAAGCCACAGACAATTGCTTAAGAGTTTGGGGCAATGGCGGTATCTGTGGCTGGGGCTGGGAAAGGGCAGGGATTGAGTCCTGTGCTTGTAAGTGATTCATCCAAGTAATCCATTTAGGGCGTTCTGAATCCTGCCGCTGGCGTGTGTTCACTCAGAGCAGCCGAGAAGAGTCCATCACAGGCATAAAATAACCCTCAAAGGCGTGCCCTGAAATGTTTTCTAAAGCCAGCCTTGGAGTAATTTGCTAATGGCCTGCCTCTGCGTCCAAGGAATAAAAGGGGGAAGGAGGAAAAACAAATGCTTTGTCTCTGAGCCACAAAGGCAGGAAGAGGCACGTCTGTGCTGCAGCCAGTGTGAGCCCAAGGCAGCAGCCTGCTATGTTGGGGTTAGCCCAGGAGACGCGTGGACTCCAGTTGGAGGCCAGACAGAACATTCCAGAACCCGGGAACAATGGCAATGCCACTGTGGCCAAGGTTGGAATAAAAGCAGGAAGTGGGGGTCTGTGGGGCCATGAGACTGTGCAAGGAGGGCTTTGGGGTCAGACAGGCTTGGGCCCAAGTCCCAGCTCCACACGTCCTGGCTGGGTGACCTTAGGCAAGTGGAATCGCCTCTCTCAGCCTTGGTGTTGTCATCTGTAAAATGGGATTTGACTGGGACTGGCCTGGCAGGTGATTCAAAGGGACAGAGCCGGCTAAGAACCAGCGCAGCCCCGGTGCTTGAAGAGTGTTCATTGCACGCCACTTTTCGGGGGCTCAGACTGGGCAAGCGTGAGTCCCACCTTCCTGGTAGGCGAGACTGGTGCCTTAGGAAGGCAGAGTAAGAACCTGGCTGACCTTCTGTGAGTATTTTCTGTGTGCCCGGCCCGTGCTAAGCATGAGGTGCATACAATTTGTGTATCTTCCTTCATTCACCCACCTTTTCATTCAACCTTTATCGGGTACCTGCTGCGGCGCTGGCGCAGGAGAAATGGCTCTGAACGAAACAGACAAAACTCCCGTCTTCAGAGCTGCCTTCTACTGGGGCAGATCGTAAAACACGTGTAAATATGTCATATATGTGCTGAAAATGAGGGAACTGTCTTAAAACATCAAACTGCTGCAGAGTTTCTCAACCGCAGCACTGTTGATATCTTGGGCTCCATAATTCTTTGTGGCAGTGGGGTTTGGGGATGGGGGTCTGTGCATCGTAGGATCAGTCCTGGTCTCTACCCACTAGATCTATCCCCTAGTTGTGACAACCAAAAATATCTCCAGACGTTGCCAATTGTCCCCCGGGGACGGAATCGTACCCACCACAAGCCAGGTCTGAGATCCACTGCTGTGTCTGCGTTGGTGTAGGGCGTGGCCATTGCAGCGAGAGTGTTCTCCCAGCGACCTGCGTGTGGGCAGGGGGGCAGGGATCCCACGCACTTTGAGCCCCTCCTACTTTCCAGGAACTGGTCTCCTCACATCCCTGGGGGAAAGGGGCTGCAGCCCTGTATTTCGAGGATGACAAACCTGAAGCACAGAGAGGTGAAGTTACAGGTCTGGGAACACACAGCTGGGATCAGCGAAGCTGGGACCAAGGCCACATCCCACACGGGGGGATTCACCGTTTAAGTCTCGGCACCCAAGCTGAGCTTTCAGTCCTCCAGCCCAAGGCCAAGTGGGAGTACTTGGTTCTGCGTCAATCATAGATTGGAATGGGTGCTTAAAATATTCAGTAGGATGCAGCGTCTGCCCCCACCACACATGTGTACACACACACACACACACACACACACACACACACACACACTCGTCCAGCAAGTGGGAGAGGATTGAAAGGACGGGGATGTTTACGGCTCTTGTCTTTGAAGGCCCCGTTTCAGCCCATCTCCGTCAATACCCCTCTGTACTGACGTCCTAGGGCTGCTGTAACATCATCACAGCTCGGTGGCTTTACACAACAGGCCTTTCTGTCTCACAGTTCTGGGGTCCAGAAGTCTGGGGTCAGCCGCCCGCACCTCCCTCCGGAGGCCCCAAGGGAGGCACCTTCCTTGGCTTTTGCAATTTCTGGTGGCTCCAGGTGTCCCTTGGCTTGTGGCAGCATCACTCGAGTCTCTGCCTCTGACTTCGAGGCCTTCTCTTCTTCTCTGTCATTTCCTCTTCTATCTTGAGTAAGGCCACTTGTCACTGGACTTAGGACCCACTTGGATAATCTAGATGATCTCACCTCGAGATCCTTAACTCAATTACATCTGCAAAGACCTTTTTTTCCCAAGTAAGGTCACATTTACAGGTTGTAGGGATTAGGATGTAGACATATATTTTTTGGGGGGGGCCACTGTTCAACCCACTGCACCCCCCCATGGCTTGCACTCTGGCCCCTCCCCTCCCATCAGGGACCTGGCCCTGCCTGTCCTCCGTGCTCACTCCTCCCCTGCCACTCTGACCTCGGGCTCTTCATCAGTCACCCCGTGCTCCTTCCAGACCCGGGGCATTCGCCTCACAGTTTCTGCCTGAAATACCCTTGCCCCCTCTGCATCTCCGCAGAGAGGCTCCCTGATAGCACAGGCCAAGGCAAACCCCCTGTCTTCCCCTCTATCCCATCCCTGTTCATTTCTTCCTGGTACTTCCCCCAGGCTAT